ACTACTTGCAACTTGTGCAAGCGAGTAGGGTGCGTGTGGGCGAAAATCATGCATGCGTAGGACATGATTGGCCGTACGCAAGCTTTGTATAAAAGTAATTTGTGTCTTAAGGACATTTTACTTGACTGGTTAGTTAAAGTGCTTAGCCGACCGGAGAAGAACGCGGCTCTGTTACGGACGTTATAAATATGCGCTGGGAATGACATACGCGAGTCGAAAGTGACTCCTAAATATTTTACCTTTTTCTCCCAGGGGAGCGGTTGGCCATAAAGAGTTTTTGCCCTAGCTTTCTGCATTGGCGACGACCTTTATAAAGATGTGACGGGTAAGTAGTTCGTGTGAAGTGAATCGCCACACTCTTTTCGGGATTTACTTCAATTCTCCATTTGCGGAACCAATCGCCGAGGCGGTTGGTGGCGCTTTGGAGTCGAGTGGTTAGTTGACTAAGGTTGCGGTCTGAATAAAAGAGCGCCGTGTCATCCGCGAAAAGCGCGAGATTGACGTGGGGGTCTTTTGGTATATCACTCGTGTAGAGCGGAAAAAGTAAGGGTGAGAGGCAGGAGCCTTGTGGAACGCCAGCCGTGAGGCGGCGGCTAGATAAGCAAGATTGCCGATGAACCGACGTCCAAATTATTTTTTTACTTTTGACTTTTCTGGACTTGGACCAAGGCAAGCCGCAATCGTTGAGAACATCCTCCGATCCGACGTCCGTATATCGGACGTCCAAAGCAAGTGGACGCCACATTATATGCAATTTTAGCCATAGTGGACGCAAAATAGGTAGCATGATGTATATATATATATATGCATAGATTCGGAGCCGAAAAATCGATCTGGCTAGGTTTTTAGAAAATGTCCACATCATATATTCTTTTTTTACGTCGGTAAGATCGAAAAATATTATACATATTTAATTACTTAGTAATTTGTATCTAAATGTAATTTCCAAAATACACAATTTAACAAAAAAAAAACAAACCGAGTCCGAACCGGTCCTCCAGGTACATTATTTTTTATGTCAGAAGGTAGCAAAGGAGCTGGCGGTTCACCTGATGTAGAGTGAACACCGCCGCCCATAGACATTTGCAACACCCGCGGGATTGCAGATGCGTTGCCACCACGCGTTTATAATAAAGTGGGCCCGGGCTCACTCACTAGGCGAAACGCAACAGTGTTACACTTCCACAGCCACTTCACGCCAGTCTTCTGTGAGGTCGCGGTAATTTCCCAACGGCAGGTCCGTTCGTACAACTGTGAAGACTGTTGCGTGGTCGTACCACAGTAAAAACTTAAAGACGTAACATATGATTTTTTTTATTTTCCCCTTCCGTCAAGAAAGAGCTGCTACTGGAAAAAAGATTATAAATAACAATTATTATTGTTATTAATTTTAAAATATCTAATAATAACTTATAACAAGTGAAATTTTGTTAGTGGCCATTAAAAAGTACTATGAAAAATATGTTGTTTAATTTTCAAACTTCGTTTGAAAATTAAACAACATTCACTATAAGTAGGCAACGCAAGGTAGCATCTTATCTAGCGGGGAGTAGCTCATTTCATATAAGTTTTTCTTCATGATTGTAAATAAGTTTTAAAATGATTCTGGTATTGTTGGAAAGGATATTTAATCTAGTCTATTTTCATATTGTTAAAAGGGATGATAACGTTAAAGGGTTTTAGTGAAATAAATGGTTTATTAAGAGAGAGAATAAATGTTTTCTTCACAGTTTTTCAAGTTAAATATATTTTTAGAGTTGTAATTTAAAATTATAACTCTCGATTTTTAGAAAATTGGATTGCTTAGTTATTCAGCTTAATAACTGTGATTCGTTTTTTGGGATAGTATTTGTAGTTTGCGAACGGTAAGCGTTTTTATCGCCAAAGTCTGAAGCGGTATAATGACATTTTATTTCTCGCGCCTTGCGCTGACGCTGGCGCACAGAACACTAATACTCTCAATACTGCGCTGGCGTCTGACTCCGATTTGACAACGCGTGGCGCTGGCGTGCCACGCGTAAACGTAGTGATTACATTCTCTTTAGCGTGCCAGTGAGAATCCTCTTTTTTGTAATTATTTTTTTTTTAATTAAAATATTATACAACTATTTTGTTTCTTTTTAGAAATAGCTTGGGAGCAATCAACTCATTCCCAGAAGTTATTGTCATTAATGTATTCATCTGTATTATAATAACCCTTTTATAAAGTTTTTCTTTAATAAATTTCTTAAACCTGTTAATAGGCAGGTTTAGCGCATTTACTGGGATTTTGTTGTAAAAGCGTATACACCGCCCCATGAACGAGTTACTTACTCTATGGAGTGTAGTAACTGGCGTTACAAGCTTGTGTTTGTTCCTAGTGTTTACATTATGTACATCAATATTCTTATTAATATTTCTCCGCACATACATAACGATTTCATATATATATTGAGAGGCTAAGGTTAATATATTTATTTCTTTAAACTTCTCTATCAAAGATGCATTCAAATCTAGATTATAAATAGCCATTATGGCCCTTTTTTGCAAAATAAAAATTGTTTCTATATCGGCCGCGTGCCCCCATAGCAAAATACCACATGACATTATGCTATGGAAGTAACTAAAATACATAATTCTAGTTGTTTTTACATCAGTTAGACATCTTATTTTCCTTACAGCATGTATCATTGGCAAATAACACTATATCGTGGTTATTCCCTACAAAGTAAGGAAGATCAGTAATGTAAACGAGAAAGAGAAATGGGCTGTGAATCGAGCCCTGCGGAACGCCCATAGATATCGTCGACCCAGAAGATCCAGCACCATTAATTACAACTTTTTGAATTCTATTAGATAAATATGACTTAATGAGGTCAAGCGCAGTACTTTTAATGCCACAATGGCGCAATTTCCTAATCAGTGTTTCATGATTAACGCAATCGAAAGCCTTGGAAAGATCACAAAAGACACGCAGAGTATCCTGTGAACTCTCCCAAGCCTCAAATATATGTTTGATACCGATCCTGGTGTAGAGCTGCTACACCAGCATCGGTTGTAGAACGATCCCTTGTAAAACCAAACTGGTTGTGATGCAATAATTTATTTAAGTTAAAATGTCATAACAGCTGATCTAGAAGAAGTTTTTCGAAAATTTTACTAAGTGTTGGTAGTATAGAAATGGGTCTAAAATTAGTGGGGTCCGAAGTACTACCGGATTTAAATACAGGTATGACTTTACTGTGTTTCATGAGATCAGGGAATACGCCAGAATCTACACTACTGTTAAAAATTATTGACAAATAAGGTGTGATTGAATCTTATTTTCTTTATAATTATTGAGGCAATCACTTCAACGGACATTCCCCTTAGATCTGCCGTTTTCTTAAGTTCAATAGTCTTAAACATTTTTATAATATCTTTTGCATATACAGCCTGAAATTTAAAGAATGTGGTGCAAGCATTTACATTTTCGTTGAGTAATGTCTGCAACAGCAGGAGAAGAATTCAGCGATAATGTAGTTAAAGTAGGAATCTCACTAAAGGATTTCTCAAATACTTCAGCTACCTCCTAATTAGTCGTTATAAAATTATATTGAATATTGAATTCATTTTTAGCTATTTATACTTAAAAACTCATAGCAGATCAAGGGCTCTTTGAAAGAATTTGCTACGAACCCCGCGCTTGCTTAATCCAGCACTGTCTGTATACATGTACAATAATAGTCTTTGCCTGTATGATTTTGCCGTCGTCGTGCACCGACTACGCGGTTTCTCGCGAGTTTGATAGCAAAACAGAGTACATTATATAAACTGAGAGAAGCTTACTGGACATCAGAAAGGTACAGTGTAGTCTACACTAGACCCAGTTTTTTAAAGGTTGTTAACACATCTCTAAGCCTTCAAGTGTTGTGGATGTCCATGGGTGGCGGTATCCACTTAGAATTAGGTGAACCACCTGATCAGCGCTCGCTCAACAAGTTTTCACACAAAAAAACACAAACAAAAAATTACGCATATGGCAACCACGGATGCTAACTTAGGAGTTTTCTTCCTATATTTAGGAAGAAAAAGTTTACAATGGAAGTTTTTTATGGGGAGAAATTTTTTGTGAATATTTTTAGGAATAAAATTTTATTCACATGAATGAAAAAAAAACACACAATTTTAAACACAAAATATAATATAATAGTATTGGCAGCATTATATATTGTATATAACAGTGACTATAGTTGGCTGCATTGCCTTATGTAGTATTTTAAATTGTTCCGCCATGAACGCTTATTGTGAATATACTTCTACTCGTAATATATTCATTCAATAAGTAATATAAAATGCCAAAGGGTGAGAAAATTGCCATCGAATATGTTCAAAAATTTAAAGGCATGTTTAATTCAGATCTTTTATAATTGAATGATACTTATTCCCATTGTTTATTGTCTGATTCTTAAAAATAATGAAAATAATTATAACGTCACAATAAAATGTATTTAATTTGTGTAAATATTTTTCAAGTCAATGAACAATGTTCAAGGTGAAGTATATTAATTAAATTAATTTTTAAAAGTAAACAGTATTGACTATCCAGATAGTTAATTTTTTCCGATAATTATTCTACCTTGTTAGATAATTTAAAAAAGGTACCTTTTTTCATTTAGGAAGATTTTTTTCGAAAACAGTGGATTTTAGGAGGTTTTTGAATTTCTTTAGGTTTTTTTTTTCAACAGTTGGTAACACTGACGGCAACAAAAATAATTTCGCGCCAATTTCACATTAATTTGACAAGTCGTTATTTCGTTCGTAATAGTAATTTATTTTCAGTTTTTAGTTATTCCCTGGTATATAAAAGCACTCTTTGGTTAATCCACTGTCCAGTCCAGTTATAATTCACTCTTCAGTGTGAATTTATAAGATATTGCTTACTTTAAATGATAGTCATTTAATCATTAAAATACTTTCAAATTTTAACTGTTACTCTAAAACTCTTTTCTCTCTTTAAAATACTTGTTTCCAGACTTAAAATGACATGTGAAGTTCAGGTCAATTTAAAATTCACGCGACTCACCGAACATGCCTTTCCACCAGTAAAAGGCTCAGAGAAGGCAGCAGGATTTGATTTAAAAAGGTATAAATTTTTAATTATAATTCCGCTATTTCAAAGTTAAAACTTGGAGTAAAGTAACAGCTTATACATGTCCCACTGCTGGGCAAAAGCCTTCTCGGTACAGAAGGTATCAGGGCATAGTCCACCACGCGGTCCCATTGCGGATTAACGGACTTCACGTATCTTCGAAATATTTTTTTTCTTCAAAATTATGCAGGTTTCCTCACGATGATTTCCTTCACCGCTGAGCATTTGATAAATCAGAACTTAAAATCAACAATTTCATTGGTGCTGGCACCAGGGATTAAACTGAGGCTTGCTCAATTATATTGAACTAAAGGCAAGTGCCCAGACACAGCTTAATCATATAATGGAATGAACAAGAAAAATATTAATTTACCCTGATTTCCAGTGCTTATGACTATGTAGTTCTGGCCCGTGGCAAGGAGTTGGTAAAAACTGATTTACAAATACAATTGCCCTCTGGATGCTACGGCCGCGTTGCGCCACGGTCAGGACTAGCAGTTAAAAACTTCATCGATGTTGGTGGTAAGCAATGATTTTGTTATAAATGTATAATTATAATTGATACACACATATATTAATGTAATCAACCTTGCCAACATGATTTTTATTAAACTAATATTATTTATAAGCTCTATTCTGATGCCTTATGAAGCATCAAATACTATGTTATCCTAATTTTGTTTATTTCTTCTAATAAAATATTCGGTATTTACTTATTAAATTGCCATTTTGTATGAAATAAGTTGAAAGTATTTTTTTAAAACTTTTATTTCTGTTATTCAATCTTTGCCAATGCAATGGAAGTTCATTGATGCCTTTTGTTAATATCAATTTCATTAATCAACAAGAAGAATTCTTGGGTTATTTATAGTAATAATAAAAAAAAATGTTATTTCTAAAGAAATCCACCATTTTGTTGTTGTCAACATGTTAAATCTAATAAAGCTTCATTAACTACGGTGAAGGGTGCTCTACCTTTCCCCCCGCCTGACGCTTTACGTTCAACCATCTAATTTATATAGGATTCCGTTCTGAGGCTGGTCAACATTCCACAGACACCATTCTAACCAAAACTGATCTATCTGATGTCACCAGTTGTGTTCTGACCTTAACTCTATACAGTGTGTCTTTACAATCGCGACAATAAATGAACACACATATTGAGGATAACTTTTTAAAATTGTATAAAAAATTTACATTCTTTAAACATCAATATTTACTGAGTTTATTACATTTTCCAAAACAAACAATTTTAGAACACACATAAAACTGTAACGTCTTTTTGTTACAGTTTCACATGTTTTTCAGATTCATTTGTAAAGGTTACAAAGCATTAGATGGGTTGAATGAATTTAAAAGAGTCAAAACATACTGTTAGAAGGAGAGACTTGTAATGCGATGCTGTGATAGCAAATGAAAAAGTCTCTGAATGTATGAATCAGTCAGTTCTAGTTGTATAGGTGTTACAAATTTTGTTTCTTTTTTACTTAATTCGTTTCTTTAAAAAATATTTTTTTTTAATTGTTTTTTTTTTTAACGTTAATATTTTAACGCTACGTGCCAATAATCATAAAAAAAAATATTAACGTTAAACAAAATCCATAATTAAAAAAAAAATATATTTTTTTTTATGGGAATAGGAGGCAAACGAGCATGCGGGTCACCTGGTGATAAGCGATCACCGCAGTCCATTGACACTTGCAACATCGGTTGAGTCGCAATTGCGTTGCCGGCCTTTAAGGTAGTAATAGGCTCTCTTCTTGAAGTTCCCTAAGTCGTATCGGTCTGGAAATACCGCTGGCGACAACTCGTTCCACAAAGTAGTTGTGCGGGGTAAAAAGTTTCGTGAAAAACGCACTGTGGTGGAGCGCCAACCATCAAGGTGGTGTCGATGGTACTTGGCGGTTTGACGAGTTGTACGATGGTGAAATTCACCAGCAGGTATCAACCCAAACAATTCCTCAGAGCACTCCCCATGATATATCCGATAGAAAATGCATAGGGATGCAACATCCCTACGCAAGGCCAAAGAATCGAGGCGATCGGACAGGATTTGGTCGTCGACGATTCGAGCAGCTCTTCGTTGAATGCGGTCAAATAGAAGGAGCTGGTATTTCGGTGCCCCAGCCCAGAGGTGAGAACAGTATTCCATGTGAGGCCGAATCTGTGCTTTATAAAGCTGCAACCGATGTATCGGCAGGAAATACTGTCTCGCTCGGTTTAGGACACCGAGTTATTAATTAAATGAAATATTTTTCAAACAAACTAATTAAGTAAAAAAGAAACAAAATTTGTAACATCCTATACAACTCGCGCTACAGTGTCGTATTAGAAGTCTCTTAACAGTATGTTTTGTCTCTTTTAAATTCATTCAACCCATTCATATGCTTTGTGACCTTTACAAATGAACTTTACGTTACGCTTTTATAGGTGAGGATGTTCTAAAATTCTTTGTTTTGGAAAATTTAATAACTATGTAAATATTGATGTTTAAAGAATTTAAATGTTTAATACAACTTTAAAAAGTTATCCCCTATATGTGTGTTCATTTATTGTCACGATGGTATCAACTACACGCTGTATAACAGGCTATGTGAGCATAAATAAAACGGAAAAGAAAAAATAAATTCTTTATTACTAGATAAACAAATCAATATTTATTTCTCACATACCAAGATAGGCTGACTGAGCCTTGCTACGTAGGGCCCCTATTTCTGGGTGGTTATAAAAAAAATAACCATGAAGGCTAAATTTAAATGAACAATTGATACAAGTATGACCGCTTCCTATATTTATCATGTTGGCAGTACTGTGTATTCAGTTTTAGAAGTCAAATTAATAAAATGTGGAACATAAGGGAAAATAACAAGTCTTAAAATTTTTTTCTCGAAAACTAAAGCGACCAGAGAATTCCGCTTGTTGATTAATTCATTATTGATGTTTTTTCTCTATCATTTTTTTTTATTGCAATATGCGCTCGACAATTTGCTGAACATTTGCCTTGAATTTTATTCAACAAAAGTTGTCCAAATTTGGGAAAAAGTAATAGTCAGTAGGTGCAAGGTCTGATGAGTATGGCGGATTAGGGAGAGCTTTGAACCCCGACTCTTGCAGCTTAAATTCTGTTGTGCAGTATGGGGTCACCTTGGTGAAGGAACAATGGGGACAACTGATTGCAGATGTGCAAGCTACCCCATCATTGTCTTCAGTTCTTCACAGTACACATCTGCAGTAATGCTCATGCTCATTTTGTATAAAGCTTGCGATGAATCACACTGGCACCAGATCACCAAACATTGACCATCACTATTCTGGTCATTTTTCGTTTAGGGCATTGCTTTGGTGCTGAAACAGGATCTAACCAACTTGCTGAGCACTTTCGATTGTCGAACAGAATCCATTTTTCGTCGAACGTAACCAATTGGTTCGTACGTTCAAATGAATGTAATTAATTAATTACAAGTGATTTTTAATATTTATCATTTTTTATATAACATTATTTATGTCTAGAATTTAATAGAAAAATGCGTCGTAGATTTTAGAAACGATCTTGTGTGCGTGTTAGTTATGAATGATCGCGAGTAAAATAAACGAGTTGCCCATAAATCACGCACTTTATGAGATAAGTTGAAATTAATGTAATTAATTAATTACGAGTGGTTTTAAATATTTATCATTTTTTATATAACATTATTTACCATGTCTAGAATTTAATAAAAAAATGGATACACCTAGAAAAGCCTCCCTGTATATAAGAATTGGCCCAAAAGCTAAGAACACATAAATTATACTACTATATTTTGTGCTATTGGTGTACCTAATAATAATAATAATAAATAAATCATTTCCAGGAAAATGAATAATTGGTTGTGTGTTCATTTGTAAAGTTCTCTCCATAAACATTATTGCTGTTACATGCCTATTGATAGATTCCAATGTATTCTTAGTTTTGTTTCTTAGACACTTGGACCAATCAAAAAATAAGTTATTGTAATTTCTTAATTGTAATAATTCTCAAAGAATAATTTTTTATAATTCATTCTTCTTTTAATGTATGGATTTTATTTACAGCTGGTGTCATTGATGAAGATTATCGAGGAAATGTTGGTGTAGTTCTTTTCAATCATTCAGATCAGGACTTTATTGTTAAGAAAGGTGATAGAATTGCACAATTGATTTGTGAAAGAATTTACTATCCGGAGCTGGAAGAAGTCACTACCTTAACAGAAACTGAAAGATCTAGTGGAGGATTTGGTTCAACTGGATTAAAGTGATATTATATGAAATGATCTTCATCAATATGTATCAAGTTAAAAGAATTAGTTTATTAATATTAATATATACGTTATATTACACAAATACAAAATTAAACTTAATAATTCTATTTAAAAGTGAATGAATGCACACATTTTGTTCATTTCAAAAGACCATAATGATTACTTTATATAAATTATAGGTATCTGAATTCTGTCATAAATTTAAATTAAATGTCATTATCTGATAACATTGGCTAAATTATAAAAACATTAAATAAAATTATAAATAAACAATATATAATCATGAGCTTTTGTCTTCAAAATTATTCATAACAGTTGTAATTGAAAGATTTTCCAGAGTTGGTGTTTCATCAGAAACAGACTGAACATCTTTATTTCTCTTCAAAAATGGTCTAAGCAAACTGGTTAATCTATTATCATTGTTTATACCAAAGTAAATCTCTGCCTTTTCAACTTCTTTTTCTATTCTATCCATATTTTGAAGCAATGTCATTACAACATCGTTCAATGTAACAACTTTCTTTGAAAGTGTAGTAATCTCAGATCTATGTTTGTTGATGTCGTCCGATACAGCAGAATGACAATCACTGTTTTTTAACTTAATTATTTGAACTACACTTGTTAATTCTTCGAGTCTAGTAATCATATTGTCAATAACATCCTGAACTGTTTGAAATTCGTCATTCACATCCAACTTAAAGTATTCAGCATAATCTTTAGCCACTTGTTCCAACATATTAAAAAGTTCCAAAATCAGGATATAAATATTCCAAGAAACTGGCTAAACAATCGACTATATCTGTCACAAGTTTTGACAATTCCAGCAAGGAAGACGGGAAAAGACGATAAACTTTTAAATAAAGTTCCATAGTCTACACAGAGCACTAAACTAACAGATCTTATGATTGTTACAAACTTCGAAAACTAACATCAACGAGACCTTGGTGCGATTGTGAAATTGTTCCATTGCAACATAAGATCCATGACACCATTTCTGAATATATTTCATAGTAGCGTCAGGTAAAATAAAGAAATGACGATATAAATGTGCAATAATTTTATTTAAAATAAACTATATTTATTAACACCACGAAATCTTCAGTTTTTGTATGCTAAGAAAAATAGGTTATAATAAAGAATTGTAAAAACCGTCTTAAAGTAAATAAATAAAACTTTTTCACTTGCAGCTTTTTTGCTTAAGTTTATTATGACCGTACAAATATTTATAATTCTAAAAAGGGTCTACATAAAAGCTTTGTCACGTAAGTGCCTAAGCTAAAAGTGTTAGAAGCTTTAGCCCATTGCTGCTGCAAAATTATTCTTTTGGAAATAATATTTAATTTATGCTATCCCAGGGACCTAAAAATAGCGTCTTTTTAAAAAAAGATAATATTTGCTTTCTTGTTTTCAGTGTCCCTCTTATTTACACCCAAATAACTCTTATTTCGTCATCCATACTAATATTATAAATGCGAAAGTAACTGTCTGTCTGTCTCACTTTCACGCCAAAACTACTGAACCGTTTTAAATGAAATTTGATATACAGATAGTCTAGAGCCTGAGGAAGGACATAGACTATTTTTTAATTGGAAAAAAGGGTTGAAAGGTTAAAGAAAGTTATTTATTTAATGGCTTCAACGCGAGGAAGCCGCGGGCGAAAAGCTAGTATTAAAATAAGTAAAAAGTCGTGAACACTATGAATATAAAGAATGTTCTTGACCTCTGTTATGTTTATTGAAAGGAGTGTAAAGTCCAAGAAGTAGTTGTTTTATTTAGTTTTTACCGAAAAAGAATCCTCAATAATGTATGAATTAGGATTCAACGAAGGACCAGATTAGCACATAATTTTAATGATGAACTAGTAATGTACGGAGCGAATGTTCTAACAATTTTTGGCACTTTCTTTTAAACTTTTAAATGAATCTAACTTACCATACTTACGTAATTTATCTACATTATAAGTAACGTCATCTTTGTGCATACATTACACGGTGCTATGGCCACGCAGCAGCCTCGGCTGTTGCACGAATGGGTAGGCTCGTCCGGGTAAGTACCACGACCTCACAGAAAACCGGTGTAAAGTGGAAGTATAATACTTTCGCGTTTCGTCTGCTGAGTGAGGTGGCCGGAGCCCAATTTTTAAAAGGTTGTCAACGCATCTGGAACCCTTGGGTGTAGCAGATGTCCATGGGCGGCGGTATTCACTTAACATCAGCTGAACCGTCTGCTCTTATGTAATACTTTTATACATTGAGATAATATTTCTTACAATAATGGATTTGCGGTTCAAGTAGAGGTTCGAACTTGCACCCACACCCCTTCCTCATTAGTTAATTGTCCATCTCTTGTCTACAGGGATCACGAAGTTGTAGGGTAGCCGAAGATGACTACGTGTCATCGACGTGCATTATCTTTGTTGTTTTCTCTAGAGTTCGTGAGCATTCGTTAAATCAGTCAAAGCCGGACCACACTCCATGCAAAAATAATCTATACTCCAATTTTATAGACTGTGTAATGTAAAATATTTTATATAATCTGTAGTGTACGTTGACATAATCAAATATCAACTGGAGTGGGTACCAGTTATTGTAATATTTGTTAGTAGACCTAATATTTCTTTGATAACATTACATATGAATAATAGTTATGCTACCGTCAACGGGTAATTTTAAAGGTCTTAATTGCCCTTTTTATGATAGCGGTCTTTGTGATCGACCTTACTGTCATTTTCGTCACGTTAGGAAAGAACCCCAAAACAACGATGCTATCGAAAGCGGAACGATTTTACAAAAGTTGGTATCGGCAGCTGTTCAAAAAGTACTACAACAAACAGAAGCAACATCACCTACACAAACTACGTCAGCTGTAGATATATCAAAGTCAAACAATGTACAGCCGACACATTCTAAAGCGACGTACAATCCAACCCCCTATATCAGAGTTGAACAAAATAAACAATGTAGATTCAGAAAATAGTGAAGAAATAAATGAGCAAAGGAGAAGGCATATTCCAGTGCCATACACACCAAGGAAACCTGCCAGTCTAGCAATCAAAAGGCCTGTTGAAGTAAATGGCTCTTTCAAACCTTTCATATATATACCTCCACCCATAACCTATACACCTGGTTGTACAGAGAATTCACAGCTTGACCCATATATGCCTAAAGGCTCTGTAGACTCAAAAGAAAAATATTTACCCGGTAAAGAGATTGAATTACAAGAATATACACCAAATGAAACTCAGGCTTCTACCAAACGTAATTATGTTCCAACAGATAAAAGTGCAAATAAAAAGAAAATTTTGGAGTATACACCAGCAAAGGTAACTGTCAAAACTGATTCATCAAAAGTCACATATCAACCAACACCACGGTCTTTGGCCCCATGTTTTTCTAGTGATGAAGATGAACCCAATGAAAAGAAAAGGAAATTATCGAGTGACTTAAATGGATTGGATGATTTAGGACCTGAGTTTGATATATTAGATCAAATATTAGATGAAGAAAAAATAGATGTTGAAAATAGCAAGAAAGTAAAAAAAAGTGAAAATTCATCAGATTCCAAAAATGGTAAAGAAAATAGCAAAAAACATGACTCAAAAAAGGATAAAGAAAAAGAAAGAAGTAAATCAGAAAAAAATAAAACAGATCACAAAGAAAAATCTAAAAGCCATGACAAGCATTCACAAGAAAAAATTTCTTCCCATACACATAAAGACTCTGAAAAGAAGTCAAGTCATAGGAGTTCAAGTAAAGAGAGAAATAAATCAGACAGTAAGAAACAATCACATTCACATAGTTCAAAGCATAAAAGCAGCTCCTCTAAAAGTTCAGATAGTCATTCAAAACAATCTAAATATTCCAAAGAGGATCCTAAAAGAAAGAGAAGTAGTCACAAAGAGCAACACAAAAGTCGTAAAAGCTCCAAACACCCCAAAGAAAAACATAAAGAGAAGAAGAAAGACAAAGAAGAAACCAGCTTGGATTTCCTTGATGAACAATCAATGGAAATGTCAGAATCTGATGAAGAAAGTATTGCTTTAGAATGTAAGAAAATTTTTGAAGAATATGTTCCCATAGAAAAGCCTAAGTATGTAGAAGAAACAGTGAACAAAAATGGAGATGAACAAGAAACTGATGAGTATATTCCAGCTAAAAAGAGAATTTCAAGGACTGTTGATAAAAATATAAAAGTTATTCCAAGGCAACAAATCAAACCAAACTTTAAAGTGAATGCAGCTCAAGCAATGGCTGATAGGTTATCAAAAATCAGGGAATTCCATGCTTTGAAAGGTCAGACTAGTACTACTGAAACTGCTGCTACACAACCAGATGGTCAAAAAAGTAGTGTATTTGCTACACCACTAAGTAGCAATTCAAAGATTCGTATTGCTCATGTGCCTTATGCCTCCACTTTGGTTAACGCGAAGAAGACAATTTCACTCTCTGTTGATAATATTAAAAAAACTACCCCTTCAACAAGTAGTACTGTTATACAAACAGTTAAAAAAGGGACCCAAAGAGTTGCACATATGCCAAATGAAAAGTTTATTGATAGGCCTGGAGTTTTAGAACCGCTTGCTTCAAAAATACCGGCCAATATAAGATCTGTTTATTTGAATATGATGATAGATGAATGTTTAAAAATTTATTTATTACCAACTGATGCTTATGCAAGAGCTCAACATGAAGAATTATCAACCAGTAAAAAGTGTTCAACAATTCAAATTTACAAAAATTCAGCAGTACTCACAGTAAGTAGGTTAAGGAAGGAACTGCAGGAATGCAACGGTGTTAAAAAATCAGGCTCTGATTGCACAACTCTTCAAAAAAATCTACAACCAATATCTGGCACAACTAGTAGTGCCGGTTCATGGAGTATAGAAAATAAACATCGTAAAAGCACTAATGACACTGTTCGCTTAAATGGTGAGAAATTGTATAATTATATACAAAAATGGGTATTAACCGAAGAACAGTTGCAAGAAAATGGAT